CATTTCCCTTTGGCTGTGGCCTCATCTTTCTTCTCTTGAAAGACTAGTCCACACTCCCTGCTCCCGTGTGTCTGCTTCCCAGTTCCTTCTTGGTCTCTGAAACCAGGATCCCTTTCCCCAACCCTACTCCCAACAACTGACTGAAACTACCTCACTAGGGATGCTGAGATCTTGTAATTGTTAAATCCAGTGGGGGCTTTTAGTTCTCACTTTACTTGACTTCTATGTGATATGACTCATTCTTTACATCTGAGATACTATTTTTTTCATTATCTTTTTGGCTATGACTCAACTCCCTTTATAGGTTCCTTTTACTTCCCTTAATTTTTTTTTCAGACTGGAGATTGAATCCTGGAATATGTACCCAGCCCTTTTTACTTTTTATTTTAAGAGAAGGTCTTGCTAAGTTGCCCAGGCTGCCCTTGAACTTGCTATCCTCCTGGCTGCAGCATCCCAAGTCTCTGTGATTACAGGTGTGTCCACCTTTTTAATAGCTCTTATACATCCTCTTCCTCTCTGTTTTCTCTGCTAATACCCTAAGCCCTTGTCACACCTGACTTAATTATTGCCCCAATCTCTTAACTGAACTCTGCCTCTAGAATTGCGTTCCCCAACTCATTCCTCACAGTGTGGTCAGGGTTGTTTTCTAGACAGCAAATCAAATTGTGTTATTCTGTTGCTTGGACTTCTTTAATAGTTTGTATAGTCTTTAAGAAAAAGCTAAAACTTAGCAAAGCTTATGTTGCCCTCAAGATCTGGGCATGCCTATCTTTCCTGTGTCCTGTAGACAACCGTGAACACCATCTGAATTCTTCTTCTTCCTCCTTCCCCAATAACACATTTACCCTTTAGTAGAGTTTTCTGGACTTTGTGCCTGATAGATCTTGAACTTCAAAATGCAGATCAAGTATCACTTCCTCTGGGAAGTCATCTTGGATTATTCCCTTAAATTAGGGAATGGATCTGAAAGGGTAAAGTTTCTAAACTGCAAAGCATGGGTTAAATTCCTGAGGCAGTTAGGACAAGGCCCTACTGGCCATTTAGTTGAATTATGGCCTGGGGTCCTGTGCAACTCCCCACGTAAGCATTCAAGACCCTGTGCAGCTTGTCACGTAGATATTTAGGGTCCGAACCAATCAGTTTAAATGTAACCCCCTCTTTAGGAATGATCTATCACTCCAGCCAGCCCTGTCCCCACCAATGAATGTACTAATCAAGTCTAAAACTTATTGTTTGATTTTCCCGCGGTGTAAGGTGATTTGTTAAAGGAAGCTGTGATGTATGCAAAGCCCCCCCCCTCCTCCCCAAAAGGTGTACTTAAGCATTGTTCAACCCCTGCTCTGGGCTCWGGGCTGCTCTCCTTTCTWGAGTGGGCATGGAGCCCTAGCATGCTGGTTCAATAAATCCCCTTTTGCCAATTGCATGAAGCCAGTCTCTTGTGGTCTCTTCCTCCGACGTTTCGCCGGTCCCTTACAGATCCTCTTTCCCTATATATTCCCTTAGTGCTTGTATTATAACACTCCAGGATTTTAAAGTGAGAAAAGTTGGGTTAGTTCAACAAGGGGCCCAGAAGACTGCTAATATGACTCTTCAGACAAAGCCACTAGTGATTCTTTTAGCTAAAGTCTTTGGGATGAGGAAGAAATGGAGTTGAGAGTAAACTGCACAGGGTCCTGTCTGGCACTCTTTTCTCCTTCCATTTCTAACATTCACAAAAGCGACATTCACAAAGGTCATCAACATTAGCCCAGAATCTGAGGGGGATACAAAGATGAGAAAGCAATGTCTTTACCCTTCAAGAATTCCCAGTTTGCATGTAGGTAGGGAGAAATACCACTCATCCCTACAGGATGCCCACTTTGAGGTACTATTCTTCCAAGCAGAAGCATTTGCTCCTTCCTCCATTTGTATGGGGCTCAAAAGTCTCTGCCCTGGATCCTCAAGGACACTCTTTGAAAATAATGAAGTTATTTATATGAAAGAAAAAAAGTAAACCTTAGCACCAAGGAGCAGGTCTGATACTATGAAATAGGTCTTCTTTGATGTTGTAAAGCTGGTCAGGAACTCACAATTAGGTGTTTTCGTTTTCCTGCCAAACAAACAATTTCATAAAACATCATAAAATAAGGACTACTATGAGACTATGATGGAGCAAGACAAAAACAAGACCACTCTGTAGTTTCATCTGAACACAGATAAAAGAACATCGACCAAAGCACAAAACACCAAACACACAGTTAGCTTGGCTAAAATGACTGACTTTTCCTTTTTCTTTTTAATTGTAAAACACTCCCTGTAAATATAAAGTATACATAAAATGTACTCTCGTACCCATTTTTTAAGTGTACAGTTCAGAGGTTTTTGTCATACTTACAATGTTGTGTTACAGATCTCTAGAACTGTAACTATATTCATGGAAAAACAACTCCTAACTTCCTTCTCTCCCCATTCCCTGTCGACTACCATTCTATTTTTCCCATGATTTTGACTGCTCTAGATATATCAGGAGTGTAATCATATAATATATATTCGTCTGTGATTGATTTACTTCATGTTCTCAAAGTTCATTTACAATATGGTATATGACAGGATTTCCCTCTTTTCGTTAGCCTGAATAATACTCCATTTTGTGTGTGTGTGTGTGTGTGTGTGTGTATTCCATTTTCTTTATCCATTCATCACTTCTTGAACATTATTTTTTAGAATTTTAATATTTATTTTTTAGTTATCGGTGGACACAACATCTTTGTTTGTATGTGGTGCTGAGGATCGAACCTGGGCTACACGCATGCCAGGCGAACGCACTACTGCTTGAGCCACATCCCCAGCCCACTTCTTGAACATTTTGATTGTTTCTATCTTTGGCTATTGTGAACAATGTGGCAGTGAATATAAACATACAAATATATYTTTGAGATTCTATTTTTCAATTCTTTTGGATGTAAATGCAGATGTAGGATTGCTGAGTCATATCATCACTCCATTTTCAATTTTTTGAGGTATTTCCATACTGCCTTCTATACTGGCTGCACCATTTAACATTCCTACCAGCAATGCATAAAAGTACCAATTTCTCCATGTCCCTGTCGAACTCTCCCATTTTCTGGTTTATTTGTTTAAAAAATACTAGTCATGCTAGTGGGTGTGAGATATCTCATTGTGGTTTTTATATGCATTTCTCTAATGGTTAGTGATATTGAGCATCTTTTCATATGCTTGCTGGGCATTTGTTAGAAAAATGTCTATTCAGATCTCTTGAACATTTTCTTTCTTTCTTTTTTAAAAAATTGGGTTACTTGCTTTTTTCTGTTGTTTTTTGAGTTYTTTATATGTTCAGAATACCAACTCTATCAGATAAATACTTTGCAATTATTTTGTCCCTTTCCATAGGTTTCCTTTTCATTCCATTGTTTCCTTTGATGTGAAAAAAAATTTAAGTTTAATGTAGTTCCAATTATCTATTTTTGCTTTTGTTGCCATAGTTTTGATATCATATCCAAGAAATCATTGCTAAATCCCATGCCATGAAGCCTTCCTCCTATGTTTTCTTCTAGGAATTATATATCTTTTGGCCTTGAAAATCCATCTTGAGGTTTTTTTTTTTAATATGGTAAAAGGTAAAGGTCTAACTTCTTTCTTTTGCATATGGTTATCAGTTTTCCCAGCACTGTTTGTTGAGGAGACTATCCCCATTGTGTGGTCTTGGCACCTTTAGATCATTTGATTATATATGTGTGAGGGTTTCTTTTTGGGCTCTCTATTCAGTTCTTTTGGTCTGTATGTCTGTCTTTGTGCCAGTACCTTAACTGCTACTTGACCAATTACAGCTTTTTTTTTTTTTTTTTTTTTTTTTTTCTGCTGTGACTAAAGGACTGGCCCAGTACAATTATAGAGGAAAAAAGGTTTATTTGAGGGCTCATGAATTCTTAGTCCATGGAAGGCTGGCTCCATTCCTCAGGAACCCAGGTGAGGCTAAACATCATGGCAAGAGAGTATGGCAGAGAGAAGCCGCTCATATCATGGTGATCAGGAGACTTGGCAGGCACCTCTCTTCATACACAAATATATATATATCAAAGCCAGCTCTAATTCCCAACTCCTCCAGTCACACCCTACCACTTCAGTTACCACTCAATTAATCCCTATCAGGGGATTAATTCACTGCTCGGGTTAAGACTGTTACAACCCAATCATTTCTCCTCTGAACCTTCTTGCATTGTCTCACACATGAGCTTTTGGGGGACACCTCACATCCAAATCTTAACACTTTCCTAGAAGAAGATTCATCAAGCCAAAGAATCATCCTGCTTTCTGATGGCTTCCAATCTAGAGCAAAACCCTGCTTCCTTAAATCCTCTGCAGAATCACCTAATAAAAGCCCAAATCCTACAATAGGATCTCTGTAGCACTTCTGACAAAGATACCCTGAAATTCTCCATAGTTCATAGTCCAATAATAAAACCAACTTAATTTGTGCTTCTTTATAGTCTTTGACTAAGGGCTCTGACAAAAACACGAGATTGATATCTTCAAAATATACATAATAATAATAAACACCAACGAGAAAAAACGATTTACACCCCAATCAAAATCAAAATTTCGGAGGATAGGAATAATCACAAGAGGAGAAATACAAGTGGCTTCTTAAACATTGAAAARAACGTTTTATTACAAATGCATGAAAGGATGCTGCTGATTAAGTTGATGGGTCCTTCACTAAAAATTTGAATTCAGTTGCCTCTGCTGCCCCTTCCCTGTTAGTCTCAAGACAAACAGCCTGAGATTACCCTGTATTTGGGGAAGGTTGTCCTTTACAATACGCTCGGATGGTAGGAGAACAGGGGTCACAGGGCTGCTTCTGAAAGGAGCACCAGCTCAGCTGGAGCTTAAGTCTACTAGCGGACTGTGGGCGTGGTCCTCCGACGGAGCCGCCGAGTCGCCGGCGCAGCTGGGCCTGGGGGGGGGGGGGGGGGGGGGGAAGGACGTTCTAGCCGGCCGGTTACTCGGTGGTAGGGCTTCCAGCCGCCTGGCTTCTGGGCGCCGCCATGTTGGCAGAGGAGGGCTCGAGCCATGGCTGCGGGAGCGGGATTCCGCACGGGAGCGGAACCAGCTCTGCCCGGGAGATGCTGGAAGTGCGGCCTGGGCTGTACCTGGGTGGGGCGGCGGCAGTCGCAGAGCCGCATTATTTGAAGGAGGCCGGCATCTCTGCCGTGTTGACGGTGGACTCAGAACCTGGTTTCAAGGAGGGGGCTGGGTTCGAAGGTCTACGGAGCCTCTTCGTGCCAGCCCTGGACAAACCCGAGACCGACTTGCTCAGCCATCTGGATCGGTGCGTGGCCTTCATCAGCCAGGCCCGCTCGGAGGGCCGTGCGGTGTTGGTGCACTGGTAAGTCATCTCGTCGGTAGGGGAAGAGTGCCCCGCCTCACTTTAGCCCCATCACCCCTTTTCACAGAGGTCTCCAGGAGAGGCGAGGGGCTGTCATTCCACAACAACCTTGTCCCATTCCCTCCCGTAGAAAACCTCAAAGAGGGCTGGGGATGTGGCTCATGTGGTAGCGTGCTCGCCTGGCATGCGTGGGGTTCGATCCTCAGCACCACATACAAACGAAGATGTTGTGTCCGCCAAATACTAAAAAATAAATATTAAAAAAAACAAAACAAAACAAAAAAAACCTCAAAGAGAGGAAGGATCTGGATGGAAWTGGGCCCCTGATTCATGTTTTGGTTGGTTCATTTTGCAGCCACCAAGTTTTATTTTGTTTTGGAGGGCGGGGATCATCAGATAAATGGCAGAGTCCTTACACCCTAAAGGGTTTACAGTTCTGCAGTACAGGTTAGACCCCACCCGAGTGATTGTAACGCAAACCAGACGTTACACCTTTGTTCTCCGTCCTAAGGGTCACTCACAATCTGTAACAAAAGACTGCTTAACCAGAGAAGAGCACACACATTTACTTAATTAAAATATAATGACATGGAGCCTTCAGAAATGAAGATCCAAAGACTGAGGGAAAACTTCATTTTTTTTTTAAATACTTGGATTCAATTAAGAATAAACATCCATGTAGAAAAGAAATTGGACAAAAGGGGTATGACTTACTGTAATAGACAGGAGAAATCCACCAAGACCYGTATTTGGATTTTTCTTGGTCTCTCTCTCTCTGGCAATCCTTTCTCTGAGGTATTGGGCAGGACCCCTTCTGGAAGGAAGGTCTTATGATCTATCACACAAGGTAGGTCAGAGAGGGTTTTTTTTTTGTTGTTGATTTGCTGGCATGGAACCCAGGGTCTTTGGCATAGAAGGCAAGTGCTCTACCACTAGGCACACCTCCAGCCCCAAGAGCAGATTATTTTTAATGCTTTGTTTGTTGTGAGGGAGGATGGTTGATAAAGGGGAAAATTGGTTAGGATCTAAAGGATCCTTGGGCCCTGCCTAGAAGATTGATGGAGTAATGTTGCAACAAAGGAAAAAAATATAGAAAATCTTGATAGGTATTTGGAAATTTCTGAGTAGTCTTGTTTGGTTGGATTGAAGTGTAGTAACAGTAGTTTAAATTTATTGAGCACTTACTGTGTGCCAGCACTTCTAATTATTTATATAAAGGACCCAAGGTAGTGATGATATTGGAAGAAATCTGGTACCTGATCTGAAGAGATCTGAATGTAAAGAGCAAAGGAACATGGATTTGTGCATAAGTAATTACAAAAACTTTTAAAATTAGGGTAATCATTTTTGAAYAAGTAATACATTCATATGGTTCAGAATTCTGAAGGAATAAGGAAATAAAAAATTCTGTACATTGGTAGTATTTCAGAGTCAATGGGTTTATTTCAATATAAGTAGACATGAAGTTGAAACCTGAACTTAACCATCAATAGGGGGCTGGGCTTTGTCTTTTTTTTTTTTAATTGTTGCTATTTGCTATTTTATTTTGAAGGTCTCTTTTTCAGCCATGCAGGCATCAGTCGAAGTGTTGCTATAGTGACTGCTTTTTTGATGAAGACTGACCATCTTACCTTTGAAAAAGCCTATGAAAATCTACAGACTATCAAACCTGAAGCTAAGTGAGTTTTTTGATATAGTAATAATTCTGCTTTTGTGATGTAGTTTCACGAAAAGAAAGTTGAACTTTTTATTTRTTTGTCATCACAGGATGAATGAGGGGTTTGAATATCAACTGAAATTATACCAGGCAATGGGATATGAAGTGGATACCTCTAGTGCAATTTATAAGCAGTATCGTTTACAAAAGGTTACAGAGAAGTATCCAGGTAAATAATAATTGCTAATATACATTGGATTCTTTTCAAATGTCATTTACATGGACACAAAGTGCATTATTTCACATTTCCAGCAATCTTGCAAGCAGGTTCTGTTGTTTTCTTTTGAAACTATGTTTTGCTAGTAATAACTTGTGCAAGGTCACATGGTTAATAAATGTCAAGTCTGAGATTTGAATTTAGGCAGTTCGGTGTAACCACCAATAGTCTTTCTCATGTACTCTCCCACCCCATCCTGATTTCCCAACACTGTTTGTTTTTAAAATTTCTGCGTTTTGCCCTTGTTGCCTCAATTTGACCTTACTTAAATTTTGTCTGAAAATGTAGACAGTTGATTTTGACAGATGGATCCATTTTTAATTTTGTCATATAGAATTGCAAAATTTACCTCAAGAACTCTTTGCTGTTGACCCAACTACCATTTCACAAGGATTAAAAGATGAAGTTCTCTACAAATGTAGAAAATGCAGGTAAAATATTTTGTATGCTCTGGGAATTTGTCTTATAGCTAAAAAGAACTAAAAGTTTTATTTTCTTATAAAATAGGAAGAATTTGTCTAATTGAAACTCTATACATTTCTGATTCAAATCTGCTTTCAAAAAGGATCTAATTTTGGGCTGGGGATGTGGCTCAAGCGGTAGCGTGCTYGCCTGCCATGCGTGCGGCCCGGGTTCAATCCTCAGCACTACATATGACCAAAGATGTTGTGTCCGCCGAAAACTAAAAAATAAATATTTAAAAAAAAAAAAAAAGGATCTAATTTCATCTCGGTACCATGGCACAGGCCTGTAATCCCAGTGGCCAGGGAGGCTGAGACAGGAGGATTGAGGAGAGATCAAAGCCAGCCTCAGCAATGGCGAGGCACTGAAGGAACTCAGTGAGACCCTGTCTCTAAATAAAATAAAAAGTAGGGCTGGGGATGTGGCTCAAATCTTTTTTTTTTTTTTTTTTTGGTACTAGGGATTGAATTCAGGGGCACTTGACCACTGAGCCACATGCCCAACCCTTTTTTGTATTTTCTTTAGAGACAGGGTCTCACTGAGTTGCTTAGTGCCTTGCTTTTGCTGAGGCTGGCTTTGAACTCACAATCCTCCTGTCTCAACCTCCAGAGCCGCTGGAATTACAGGTGTCCGCCACGGCAACCGGCAGGATATAACTTCTTTTTTTTTTTTAATAAGCTTGTGAACAAAGTTCTTTTTTTTTTTTAATATTTATTTATTAGTTACTGGCAGACACAACATCTTTGTTTGTATGTGGTGCTGAGGATCGAACCCGGGCCGCACGCATGCCAGGCGAGCGCGCTACCTCTTGAGCCACATCCCCAGCCCAAGGATATAACTTCTTAAAAGAAAAAGGAGAGCTGGAATGTAGCTCAGTGCTAAAGCGTTTGCCTTGCTTCATAACGCCCTGGGTTCTATCCCCAGTTAAAAAAAAAAAAGTCAAAAAAAGAACCCCCCCTCCCAATAAATAAATAATAAGATGGGAGGGAACCAACCTTAAAAAAAAAAAAAAAGTAGAAGTAAAATAATCATATTGTAGAGGGGCTCTTGAAAGTTTAAGTCACATCATCAGTGTTATATTATTTTCTCCTTTAAGAAATACTGCATATTTCAACTATTTTTTCATCATTTTGGAAGTCATTAATGTTTTTCTTTCTTTGGGGTTGCAGGCGATCCTTATTTCGAAGTTCTAGCATTTTGGATCATAACGAAGGAAGTAGGCCTATAGCCTTTGCCCACAAGAGAATGACACCATCTTTCATGCTTGCCACAGGGAATCAGGCTCAATGTACATCTTATTTCATTGAACCTGTACAGTGGATGGAATCCACTTTGTTGGGAGTGATGGATGGGCAGGTGAGAACACATTTTATTTTCTATAGTTTCATTGTATGATTTATATTGTGTTCATTTTGGTATTTTTAGTCATATTTTAACCAGTGTTTTACTCCATCTTAATGCCTTTCTTTCTGAATATTATACCTTTCTAGTGTAGGTAAGGGTATCAAAAATAAAGTTGTTTATTTTTGATGTTGGGAATTGAACCCAAGCCTTGTTCATGCTCAA